GTCAATGGAGGGTACAAGGATTTTCATGGGAATTTTTTACAAAAGATAAAAAATAACCTATGTCCCCATCCTCATACCCGTGAGGAATGATAGGTTCCTGTGGGTATTCGGAGTCCCCACCATCATTTGCAAAATATTTCACAATGTAAACAAAAATAAACAAAGAGTGACAAAATAAACAAGAAAAAAAAATTTTAAAAACAAATTTGCTAGTAAATTTCTCGACATCATATGCACTCTCGAACACTCGATTTCTCCGTTTGGCTACTGAGAAAACTTGAGAAAATATACTGAAAGATTAGTAAATAGATAATTCTCGATTTGCTTCTTTTTCTAGCAGTTTCTCGACAACCAAACAGTTATAGCTTTCATTGAAACTGAGACATCGATACTCGATGCTCGTTTAAGAAATTAACTAAAAATAGAACAAATTAAGAGCTCGAATGAGCCTCAAAATAACAATACGATTATCATTCACCGCGAATGCGAGAAAGAAGCTACGCAGGCATGTAAACAACGAAAATTGCATTCTGACAATCTTGCGAACAATCGAAAGGAAAATGAAATCGGAAATAATAAGGCCAAAAGAATGAGATTTGCTTCACCTCAAAATAAATCATCAAGTACAGATACTCAGATACTCACAAATACTCACAAGTTACGCTCAGGCAAGCTACAAGTAACCGATTGAAGAATAGAAATAGAGCTATGGGCAGTAACTTTCAAAGGTTGCCGAGAATGATAGGTTGAAGGGAATTGACCGATTGAAAAACAAAAACAAAACCAATGAGCTACAACGTAGAGAGACTAGAGTTTGGAGAAGAAGAGGAATCACAAAGCAAATTCGCAAATCTTATAAATTTGAAATAATCCTTCTAGTTCTAGAGTTATTAGCAAATTGGATTGGGCTTGAGCAATTAAGTTTAAGAATAGAAACAGAGCTATGGGCACTAACTTTCGAAGGTTGCTGAGAATGATAAGTTGAAGGGAATTGACCGATTGAAGAACATAAACAAAGCCAATAAGCTACAGCACAGAGGAGAAGAGACTGGAGTTTGGAGAGTATGAGGAATCACAAAGCAAATTCACCAATCTCAGAAATCTAAAATAGTCCTTCTAGTTCTAGGGTTACTAGCAAATTGGGTTAGGACTGGGCAATTAAGTTTAAGAAGATTATGGGCTGGATAGC